GCAAAGCGATCGCTTTTGCGATCGCAAAAAGTTCGTCGCAAAGCGATTTTGTCGCTAAACGAAGCGCTTGCTAAGAGGGGCGCCACTGTATTTGCTGTTTTAGATATTTTACTTTTTGCATGTCTGGTATGGCTCTTTGTAGTGCATACCAGTCTTTGAAGTTTTGTATTCAATTTTGTATGACTTGATGCCGTAACAATAAAGTACTGTATGTATGCTTCAACATGATGCTCTGCTGACAATTAGAATAAAATTATCTGTTTGGAAAAGGCCACCAAGAAACATGTGGGCCAGAGTCTTACTGAGGATTTACAGAAAGTGTAATTTCATAAACCACAGCAGCAAATTGCCACTAATTAATGAGCATCTCCTTGCATTCCAGGCCCTGTGCCCATTGTGCAACTTAGTGTGCCAGCAGGAAGGAATGTGAGTAGCAATTCATTAACTGGTGGCAATTCATTGCTACAATTCATACTTATGCCAATATAAATCCCTAGCAGAATTCAGGCCACCGTGAATCACCTCACCCTGTACTTTTTTCAGGTTACAGCCTCACACTAAAATGATCACAGTCTCATCATATAGAGTGGCACTGGTAAAATATCTCCTTTCTGATTGTCACAACACAATTAACAATACAGTTAACAACTTGTAAATTTGCAGAAACAGACTCTCTGATTTGGTTACCCACATCATATGCAATGGGTGAGTATAAAACATAGCACAGAACTGTTGTCCATAGCCTTTCTGCACTGACAGTGTCCTGAAATGCCACGTTATGCTATCACCTCTTTCCTTTTCTTTAGTAGGAAATGTAATTGTTTTTTTAAAAAAAGTCAGCATATTTATGTTTATGGACAAGCGCAGAGGGATGGTGTGAGGGACATGTGGAGAAATGTATCTTGCTTGCTGCCAGTGATCTTTCCATTTTATACATCACAGTAGGGATTTTTTCCTCTCAGGTGGAAAGCAAGCCAAAGCATGCATTATACATCTATTATGCCATTATGTCTACTAGTACTCAGGTACTACAGCTTTCTCCTCTTTTGATTCTGCTCTTGCGGCATCTTTAGCCTTCATTTTCATTCCATTACATACACAAACATTCCATTAAGATTAAACACATTTCACACTCCTCCAGCTTTGCCTTCATGCTGACAGAGAGACAAAGCCCAGGCACCTAAACAGTGAAATGCTCTTCCCTAATAACACTAATCTTGTCCCACTCCTGCACACTGCTGCCAAAATATACTTGTGTTGTTTTGTCACAGCAAAAATAAAGTCTCGCAGCCAAAATAAAGACTCGGAGACTAACCAATTAATTATTGTATCAGCTTTTGTGGACCAGGGCGCTTTATCAAATGGATAAAACATTTCTCTCAATTTGGCAGGTCCACAGCTATGAAGCTTCATAAATGTTGAATTGGGTGCCTAGGATTTTGCAGCCTTTCTTGCCCTACATTTCCAAAAAGCCGTTGGATGCCAGACTTTCTGTCTTCGCAAGGCAGTGGAGAGCATGCAGCCCTGAAGAAAGGCTCTTCGCACATCTTTTCTTTCTTTCAGAAGGACATTCAGTATGTTATGCCAAGGGTCAGTACACACATTTCTCTGGGAGAGGCTCGACATCGTGTGAGGTGTGAAATAAATGCCTGGACAGCACCCCCTCCCATGTGCAATGTAGCACGTGCAATTAGGAATGGGAAATGTCATTTGGTTCTGGTCTCTGGGGCAACAGAATACAAGCATTGGGCTTTTTTCCCTATGTGCCAGGGTTTTGAAGAGTTTTGAAGGTTGCTATCATATCCCTTTTCTTCTCTAGGCTATACACATTGCATTCCTCGCCTTGTTTTTGACATGGCCGACCAAATTAGTGGCTCTCCTCTGAACTCACTCGTACTTGTCTACACCACTCTTAAAATGCCACACCTCAGACTAAAAACAGTATTCCCAGATGTATTCAAATGAAGGCAGAAGAATAGGGAAATATTCCTGCCTGTGACTTAAACTGTGGTTCTACTAAGGTTGCCTAAAATTGCATTAGACTTTTTTTTTGGGGGGGGGGCAGCAGCATCCTACTATTGACTGATGTTCTATTTCTGATTGAGGACAGTCCCAAGATCCTTTTCACACGTGGCACTGCTATGCCAGGTGTATAACAAAGATTTTACACTGCCACCTATTTGATTGGAGAGCCCCCTCAATGTCCCCCACATTATCCTGTTCTTCTTGAAGTGCTGGATAGCTCAGTAGTTTAGGTCTCTGGCTGTGGAGCCAAAGGCTGGGGGTTCTATTCTCCACGGTGCCTCCTTGACAGGGGATGGACTTGATGATCCACAGAATGTCTTCCAGCTCTTCTGTTCTAAGATTATTCTGTTGCTGCTTTTTATTTAGATCTGAGTGTTCTACTTTTGTATCAATGGTACCATTTAAAGAGGAAGTCAATAGGGAACAAGCTTTGTCTACAGTTGAGGTCCTCCTGTCAGACTGTGCAATGTCTCTTTCGGTATTTAGAAAAGAAACTTCTTTTAACAACCTCCTTGCAGACCCAACTGATATGACCCAGCCCACTACTCCTGCCTGCCAAGAGACAGCACCACTGTTAAAAAAGCTTAATACATTTATTGAAAGATGAAATTGCTGATGGATAATAAAAGGACGCAGCTTGTCGGAGTCCGGCTCCAACAATGCAGCTGGCACAGCTTAATACATTTATTGAAAGATGAAATTGTTGATGGATAATAAAATGACGCAGCTTGTCGTAGTCCGGCTCCAACAATGCAGCTGGCACGGGAGAGAAACCTCTGAAGAAAGACATTGCAGTCACGAAGCTTAGCATACACACTCTGTGCCTCAGCGAACTCTGTTCTCCCTCAGAGACTCTGAGCAACTCTTTTGTTAGGCACAAGGTTACAGAAAGTGTTACATGCCAAACGAATCAGCCGTGATTTCATTCTGTCTAGCAACAAGGTTAGCGCGTGCGCATTACAGATATACCAGCAACTAAGAGAATAGCAAACAATGAACAATGGCAAGAATTTTATCATCATCTTCCCAGGATTGTATCATAGTCTTCCCAGGACTCCCACTGCAGCTTCAGTCGGTTACAGTAGAATAGTATTGGCTCAGCATAAGGAGTGTATCCCTGCATTGGGTGATCCGCCTGTCAGCTGATGGCTACTTTCCCAGTCTGTCACTGGATAGCCAAAGATGGGCAACTAGAGTTGGATATAATGATACCTCAACTTAAGAACTTAATCCATATTGGGACTGTGTTCTTAAGTTGAAATGTTCTTAAATTGAAGCACCATTTCCCATAGGAATGCATTGAAAACCATTTAATCCGTATCTGCTGTTTTTCGTTCTTAAGTCGAGGTTCTGTTCTTCAGTCGAAGCATTAGTTCCCATAGGAACTAAGGCAATGCTGGTTAATTCGTATCTACCACTATGAGGTGATTTTTAATTTTTTTTTCTTCTTCTTTTGACCTAAGGTGAACTTAGGTCAAAAAAAGGGCAGGGAAGGCTTTCCCCCCTTTTTCTTATTTTTAAGTCGAGGCTCTATTCTCAAATCGAACCAACTTTTTGCAAACGGAGCCGTTCTTAACTCCAACTGATCATCTGCTCAATGGATGGAGGCCACTGCAGAAACTACCGCAGACCACTTAGCAATAGGAATTAGCTGGTTGGGACTTGCACCTGAAGTATTTTAATGCTAAAATACTGAGCCGAACATATGGGCCTGGTTAAATATTACCAATAATGTAGTAGCCCTCGAGTACTTCTGTGATTTTAAGCTTTGTAGAGACGGGGAAACTTTTTCCTATGAAGGGCAATGGACCTATTGGAAAGGTAAGTTTTGAGCATCAGCAGACGGTGGGTGGTGCGAGAGGCAAAGCAAATGAAGTTTGCAACACTGTATAGTGTTCTCCCTCTCCTCTGTATTAGGTCAAGGGCCAGATATGGTCCTCTCTCTCTTTTTTGCACTGTTACTGTG